AAAAGTGAGGGTGTGCTTGTGTTTGAGGCCACTTCAGAGTCTCTCTAGCTTTTCTTTGTGCTGAAGCTACTGGGTCCAACAGTTATCATGTTATCTTGATTTTCTTCACTTTTTTGAATGACAGACATTTTAGATGGCTCGAATACCAAATATGTACTCGTTTGCTCCGTTTTGCACCCCTGAATACGACCAAATAAGTGTCTAAGACTGCATTATGGACAGGAACTTAAAAAAAATAATATAAAAAACCCCCCAAAAAACAAGTAAGTACTTGTTTGCTCCATTTTGAACTCCTGAATATGTCCAAATAAGTGTCTGAGACTCCATTTTGGACAGGAACTTTTAACAAATAATATATATTTTTAAAAAGAATGGAACACCTGCTATGAAAACTTCAGTGCATGAACAAAGCCTGCTCGAATTCGTCCCCTGAATCCATCATCAGAGTTGAAAATGTACAAATATATTGTTGATACAGCTAAAAGAATTGCATACAAAAGTATAAAACATAGTACAGCCCTCCTCAGAGAAGCACACACGTCAGTGTGTACACGGACACAGTACCAGCAGGCACAGGGACTCTAGAACAGTGTTTTTCAACCTTTTTTGAGCCAAAGTAAATTTTTTCATAGAAAAAATTACGAGGCCACCAACCAAAACTGTTAAACAAATCTGTAGCCGCCTATAGTAACACTATAGTTATTCTTATTTTATTCTTATCTTATCTTAAGTGTCTTGAATAGGAATTAAATAAACACAAAAATGTAATTTTATCATATTTTCTATTTCTTATTTCTATTTGCACTTAACATGTCCACTTCAATATACAAAATTATATACAAAATCTAGTCATAAGGAATTACGCCACCAGTCACTACTACAGCACAGACACTCAAAAATGGAATATTATTTGCAGATAATTAATTCAATATCAAAAAAATCTTTTTAGACCAATGAGGTGAAATAGGATTATTTTCTACGGCACACCTGACCATCACTAACGGCACACTAGTGTACCGAGGCACAGTGGTTGAAAAACACTGCTCTAGAACACCGGCTGACACACAGAAAACTCCTGGATGGAATTTAGAGTTCAACGTCTTACTCGAGATTTCTTCACCAGGAAGAGATCTGGGAAAAGTCCAGCAGTCCTCCGACTGAAGGACAGCCACTGTATCCGTCACATGGCCCACAACCACTTTGTGACTTTTGCTCTTGCGTAAGGGGATGTGTGGGGACTCTGGAGGAAGTAGGTCAGGGAGCTAGAGATTCAGTTCCTGTGCCCAAATTTGAGATTCAGATCTTGGCACACAATCAGATATTGTGAGTCTGAGGTCTCCATAAACCTGAATTCTAATTTGACTCCAGTCCGTGAATCTAACAAGTGAAATATTGCCATAAAAACTCACACAGGTGTTCCCTATATGATAAATATATTTTATTCACATGCTATAATGATTATGATCATTTGAACAAAACTGAACTGACAGAAACGGCTCACAAAGGTGTATTTTTTAAATTATTTTTGTTATTAATTCTGAGTTTTGCATTGAGATAGGGAAAAAAGTGCATGCTCATAATAAAGGAGCAAAAAAAGCCTCTCAATGCAAAATTGTAAGAGGGCAGTGTGTTTTGTTCTGCTCTCAGAAGTATAGAATTTTGGTTGTTGGTACTGGGTATATTTTGTAGGGATATTTAGTAGGGAGAACAAACAGCCATCATTTTGCTGTAAAGTTGATAAAGTAACACACACATCCAGGCATTGTCTCTTATCCATCACAGTGAGCAGAGCAAGTGGTTCAGGGCAGTTAGTTGTACAAGGTTATCCAGTCAGGCGTGGCGAGTAGGCACGTGACGCTGCGCACACATCTAATGAAAATGCAACCATCACGCTTGAGTTCCTCCGCTGACCACACACACACACACGGACACACACACATCCACGCCAGTCACTGCTGAGTGTTCTCTGCGCAGACAAATCGGATCCGCTAATATGGCTAACCTACATTTGGAGGCTAAGGATGATTAAATGCAACAGTCCAAAGTAACTGTGACAGTTTGATTCAGATTTCGTTTTCAATGGTTACACATAAAACCCATTTAGCTGATCGTTGTTGTTTTTTTTTCCGTTTTTTTACCATCCAATCCACATCTCACGCCAAACGCACGCCCGTTTATCAAGGACAGAGCGACCTGCCCGCTGAGATGCCAGCAGCTAAATTGTGTTATTAATCTTTCCTTTCCTACTGTGAGTGAGTGTGAAAGATGCTGATGCTGCTCTGTGAGTGACACTGATCACTTGTGTCCAGTGTGGATAAAGCAACGTTTTTTTGTCACTGTTCCAGTCTACATGGCGTTTAACAGTCTTTGATCATCAAAACAGCACAAAATATATTTTTTTCTGTGTGTCTCTGATTGTTTTGTGACCACGCTAAAGAAAGCACAAGGATGGCATTAATAGAAAATGTCCGACAAACCGTAAAAAAGCACGTAGTTTAAACCCTGACCGGGCCTTTGTGGAGCAAAGTGGAGCAACTTCTTCTTCCCATGCATCTGTTTTAAAAATATAGAATACAATTAAGCTACACTAACTTTTTTTGTGCTGTTAGGTCATTTTACTCTGGTTGTAAAAGTCAGTTTCTCTCTCTACCCATGCGAGAGACTGGCCACTTACCCAGAATGCACCCTGCCTGTGGCCTGATGATGCTAGTTGTTTGGGGTTTATTATGTCAAGGTTTCTGTGCCGGTGATCCTTCTGTAAATCAGCTGCGTTTACAAAGATTTGTAATTGTTTGCCTTTGTTTCTATCTTAACTGTATGACTTTATAGATTTGGTTTAGGTTGGTGCAGAAAGTCTTTAAGTTTTTGTCCTGAGTGCTCAAACAGGTTCATCCAGTCTTGCTAAAGAGCATCTTTGTGTGTTTGTTTGTGCTTTAACATTTAAATTAAATTATTTAAATAAGCATTTAGATTACACATCAATGTTTATGATGCCTTTATGTCATATCATATCCTTTGTGTCGGCCTTATTACTCACCATTTTGGTGTTTTAGGGGCTTTTGGGGTTGCCTTTGACGGTCTCCATCTTGGCCCCTCTCTAACCTCGATGTTTTAACATGGTTGAAAACCTGAAGCTGTTCCCTGTCCCTCAAGCATCACTCCAAACCACGCAGAATGCCCTACACGGCCCTCATCAGGGCCAAAACTATCATTCTCAGTTCAAATTACACATAGGACAATGCTGTTACACGATGTTTCACATAGTGGGATGTGTAATGATATGCCAGATAGTGGGCGTATTGTCTCCATCTTAGTGAGTTATAGATGAAAACACACTATTTCAGAGTATTTATAGTCATTTCAGAGGATATCTTTTCAATATAGGCCACTGGGTCTTTAATGGCCTTGCGTTCTATGTCTTTATGTCTATCTGGAGACGGTGCTTTGTCACCACAGATACAACCTCCATGGAAACGGCTGTTGGCAAGGCGGGCGAGGTTGATGCCTATGATGAGGTGTGACAGCAGGGCTATTTTTAGCTCGTCAGCCAGGTAGCCACAAACTGTGAATCCAGACACTTTAAAGGAGTTTACTGTGATGAGAGGAAGGAAAAAAAAACTCAGAGGAACTCATTATTATGGAAAGAGGCTGCTGATATAGGGCATTTTACGCCACGTTTGTCCTCATTTTAAACAGTTTTGTGGAGCATTGCAGTTAATCTGTATTATTTTATAATCTATAGTCAGTCATCCTCACAGACAAATACATGACTGCTAGCACAAGAATGAAATATTTGTTAGTTGTACATTTTTGTATTCTGTTTTTTTCATTTTTTTGTTAAATATTTATTTGTTTTTTGCGATTTATGTAGGGTAGGGGTAGAAATAAGATGGGTTTGAGCTCCATACTTAACCCTGTAATGCCAAATGTATCATATTTGATACGTACGGTTTCTGAAATGTTTTCCGTCTGACACCTTTTGCATAATTTAATGTTAAAAACCTTGATCAAAATCCTATTGTACACAATCAGATACACCTGATAACAGGGGGCAGAAGACTACACAAAAAATAATCTTGACTTATCGCATAGTAATAAATTATTAATATAAAAAATTCATTTTTGTTTTTTCTTTTTACATATTTTGTTAAAAGGCCAAATATAGACTTACAACCCAAAAAATAATAATTTTCTGTTTTGTTTTATTCTTGGATCAGGCTTTAAAGGGTTAATAATGACAGAGTCATTGATGCCATTACATGGAAAGTGTAAAAGGTAATCAGTCGCTATAATCATCACGGTAATCAATAGCGCAGGTGCTTGTCAGACGTCGTTACATTGTGCGATTGCTGTGTGTGTTTTTTTTTGTTGTTTTTGCCGCTGAACCCGTCTGGAGCTGAGCTGCCCGCTCACTGTGTCACTGTGCCTTCATCACCAGATTACCGCCGACAGCAAAATCAATGTCACCGTCTCGCGTCCTGAATGGTTTTTATTTAGGACACCACTCCAGAACCCGTCACCATTTTCTGGTGATTCTTGTTTTAAAAAAAAGGTGATGTGTTTGGGCGGCTGCAGGTTTTTTTAACGCCGTCACTTCAAAGCCTGCAGGTAAAAACCATCCATGTCAGGTCAAGTGGTGTTTCCAGATTGAGCGTTGAAGTGGAAGAGCGTGCATGGTTGTGTTTTCTCTGTGATGGGCAGATGCCCTTTTGTAGGCCGCGTCGTCCCTGTCACTCAATGACAACAGGGATAGATTCCAGTTTTTTTTTCCGATTGCGTATATGTCAAATAAACGAGTAGCTGTAACCGAAGAAGAATGCAGACAGCTTTGGATAGCTTTGTCTTTAGTGTGAACAGTTTTGTTCTGGCTTTTTATTTTTTGATCAGCTTTAGTTCAGAATAGCTCGTTTAACGCCTGCAATTATCGGCTGGATGACGAAATACTGCAATTTTCAAGTCATTTAATTAGACTTTCTCTGTCTGTGTCTTTCTCCTCGTAGCTGTGGTCGTTCCTGATGGCGCATCAGAGAAGGCAGGTCTGGGTGATGAGCTTGGGAGCGAAGAGGATCTTCTGTATGAAGAATTCCGGAGTTCTGGACATCGGTTTGGGCATCCAGGAGGAGGCGGAGGAGAGCAGCTAGCCATCAATGAGGTAGTGACTTTACCACTAAACAGCAGTCTCACCAAACTATTGACATTCACGTCAGTTATGTTCTTCCTCATTAATTGAATCATTACTCATGACCACATCATACATTAAGGTTTTATTTGTTTTTAATTAAAAAATATTGTTTTATTTCATTCTGTTTTCCATATTTTATTTAACAATTTATTTCAAAATGTACGCATTTGCTGACATTCTAAAATTTTAGATGGATACGGCACCCATTGACACTAATAATATTTAGAGTTAAGCTTTGTAGTGCTATTAGATGATGAACTTGTGTTTGAAGATGCTCAATTATGTTATCAATAATTAAATGAAAATAAATTAAAATGTTCTGCTTCGAAAGGGAGGCCGTGCTTTATTAGTTGTATATAGAATTAATTTAACCACTTTTTCTATTTGGTAAATGACACTACTACTATATATTTACCGTCAACCAGGAAAACCTTTAGCCCCAAATGGACGCAGTATTGCTACGTCATCTGCAGAACGCATGTTCTCAACGCCTGTTACTTCCCGAATGAAAAGGGAAGCAATAGAGATTTGGCTTAAAAAAAACAAAATCTTGTAAATCTGTTATTCAGAGGTATTCGTTGAAGGCACACGCAGCCGTGCACACCACTGTATGGGCGTGAAACAGGACTTCTCCTCAGCAGAGGACGAGACTCGAGGTCACAAAGTACATCTCTGGAGTAACTGAGATCTTTAGTCGCCATGGATACAAACTCCAGAAGTGTGCTCTGTTGCGAAGCCTCACTAAGATAGAATTTATGGGTGGGCTGTCAAAGTATCTGACTAAAGCCTCATAATTCATGGCTGATCTCATGTATGTGCAGTTCTTGTTTGAGAGATGGTTTATTTTAAGGAGGAGAGCATTTAAAAAAAACATTTTTAGCACAAAAAAAGGACTATGTCACAAATCATTTGGTACCTAATAATGAATATTGGTATTAATGATCCATCCATCTGTCCAGGCCATGTTTTCTTCCCCTACCCCCCCCACGCGTTATGGTTTCTGTTGTGCTGTATCATCAGGTTCTCACAAAATGACCGCCAGTCAGTGGCTGTGGTGATATTTACGCCACTAGCTTCCATCACCTAGTTCCCTGTTTTTTCCTGCGCATAAGATAAATAGAACAGAGCCAGAGCTTTACTGCCATCATGTGGATAACTCCAGTACAGTTACCTTAAGTAATATTCTGACTGCAACTGGTTCTGTGGCGTTTTATCTGTAATCTTCATCTTATTCTCACTGTGTCTACGTTTTCTGCTGAAGACAAACAGATCCAAAAGTTACTAAACAGTTACTAAAGATATTTCTGGTCAGATTCAGGATGAAACTGATGGGTGTGACCATCCAATTAGAAATGTAAGTTAGATTGGTTTTGTTTAGGAAAGCAGTCTGTTGGTTTGTAATGGTTGTTCCAACTGGAAGTTGAGTCCAGATTCATAGGTGAGACAAGACTTTACTCAGTAAAGTGATACAGTAAAGTTTACTGTATCAGTTGCTTTTAGCTAATTTGCTCAAATCTGCCTTTGAGAAATTATTTATTGAAGCTTTCCCGTGATGGTGAAGTGGTTAACCAAACCTAACATATCATGAGAGGAAAAACCAAAGTATAGGATGTAGAAGGCAAAATAGGATTCTGTAAGAATGTAAAAACTAAACTACAGGTGTGTATATATAGTATACTGTCCAGATATCTCAGTGATATAGAATAGAATATTAAATGAGATAGAATATTAAAAAAGAAGAACACTTGAGACATAGCCATTTTGTGTTTTGTTTTTTTTATTCACGAGGCCGCAGATATTATAAAAACTCAGTGACTCAAGCCTCAAAATCTGTCATCACTGCTCAGGTCTTCTTTTTCAAGAGACCTATTTTATCAAACTGTGTTTCATGAAAAGACGCAAAAAGGACTATTTCCCATGCATATTTTTAATTCATCTTATTTATTTGATTGGTATTATATTTTATATACTAATAAGAAAAGGACCATTGCACTGCAATTTTTGTGAGCAGTTTAAAATTCAGAACTTTTAAAGGCCTTTCTAATTTAGGGGAATGTATGTGTCGATCCTTAAAAGGATTTGCTATGAAATCTACTGATTTCAGAGCAAAATTGACATTTTTATTTGAGAATTGATATATTTTTTTACACTTGAACGTTAAAACTGGCATCTCGAGTAAGAAAACTAAGATGTAACAAGGTAAATATATATCATCCTCAATAGATGTTGGTCTATCACCATCATTTAAGACATTAATGGAAAGGGTATCATCCCACAGTCTATGAATGTGTTTACTGACATGCATTTATTATCTGTTATTATATGTTCAATGCGTTTTATATGCATGTATCTAAAACACTACATGTGTTGTATGTGAATGCAGCATCTAATTATTTTCACCAGGAGTAAATAATGTTGCATACTACATCCCCTAATTATATTAGGGTGCCCAATTTATGATGTAGTTTTATTTTTAAAACAAATGAGCTACAATATAATGCTAATTTATATATAGTAATTACAAGGATTGATATAACCGACTCCAGCACATGTGACACTCAGACAAAAACATGCTATTCAACACAGGATGGCTGTTTTCTTCTGCATGGCCTCCTCTGCCCCCCTCCCTGCCCCTCTCAGAGCTCCACCCCACCCCCACTCAGTGTGTCTGCCTCCCAGCGGTTGCTATGGCCTTGCCTCAACCACTCCTGGTATCCAGGATATGCTGACACACTGTGCATTCTGATTGGCTGCCAGCTATGCAAGGGTGGGCACACAAAAAAAGGAGCAGAGAGGGGGGGGGGGGGGGGGGTGTAGTGGGTGGCTCTGGTTGTTAGATGGATGGCTGAGGTAGCACGATCCGAGGCTACTCCGAGGACCATTTTAGAAAGAGCTCCTGTCTGAGATGCAACGTGCTACGATGGAGAGATAAAGAAAAAAACACACGGGGGAAACGAGGGATGTCTGCACGCCCGAGTGACTGAAGAACGTACCGGAAAACAGGCGGACGAATAGAGAGCAAGGAAAGGTGGACGGAGAAAAAAAAGGAGGAGGAATGATCGCGTGTCGGAGAGATGCAGCATTCCCTCCGGCCATCATCCTGATTTCCTGACCGAAAGGGAGGGCCAGAGGAGAGCCGAAAGGAGAACGAACACTAAAGAGGTTGCAGGGAGGGAAAAAAAAGAGAGAGAGGGGAGGTGCCTGTAACCACAAAGAGGAGGAAGGAGAGCGGCTCATCTCACACAGACAGACAGCCTCTCCCTGACTCAGACGGGCACCCGGCCTCCGGCAAAGCGTCGGCAAAGTGGCAGGAGAAGCCGGGGAGGCCACCACCGGGGCCGCGCGGCGGTGGGGGGGGGGGCCGGCGCCAGAGGACAGCAGCGGGGACGCTCCGGGAGGAGGAGGAGCAGGGGGGGAGGCGGTGTGGTGCGGGGGCGCGGCGCTCCGGGAGCGGCGGCTGGGCGGCGGCGGTGGCGGTGGCCCCCGGGGGGGGGGCCAGGACGAGGCCAAGGGGCCGATGGCTCGCGGGAACGGCTCGGGACGCTGGAGCCGGCAGCGGGCGGGCTTCTTCAACGCCATGCTGCGCTGCAACCTGCCCCCCGACACGCAGAAGGTGGTGGTCTTCATCATCATGATGCTGCTCATCGTCATCAACGTGGTGCTCATGTTCCTGCTGGCCTTCCAGTAGAGCGGACCCCAGAGACCCCCCGGGGCCCCCCCCCCCCCCCGCGTCCCCCCACCCCCGCACGAGGATGGAAGAGGAGACCCCACGCTCTGAGAATCAAGAAGACAGACACACCAGGACCAACGGGAGCATCTTTTAATGTGAGAACGGACGATGTGGTCCCAGAAGTTACCGGAAATGATCGAAATATGCTCGTGAGCATACGCTGTTCATCTGAAAAAGAAAACCTAAAAACCTTGTTTCTCTCATGCCTTCACTAATGGCCGTCTGTCATTAGCTCTGGTCTCAGCTGTCCACACTCTGAGGTCACTGCCTCCTGCACCTTTACGGGGGGGGGGGGGGGGGCGGCGGGGGGGGGGGGGGGGGGGGGGGGGAAATGGAGGGGTGCACGAGGGAGAAGAGATTGTGCTCTCTAACTGTATGTATTTGAAATGTGTCAAACCTATTAAAAAAATCATCCCATCCACATGTTGATTTCTAGGTGCAGGCGAGAACGAATGGAAAAACATTTAAGTTTTTAATATATTGCTACCATTTTTATTAGTTTAGATGAACCCTTTAATGTCCTGCACATCCATTTGGTTGAGGACATTGTGAGTATCTGTATTTATGTTGATCACCAGTTTAATATTTCAAAGTGCTCCACTCAAGTATCAAAGAGAACAAAAAAAAGATTTTTATAAAGTTTATTTAAGATGTTTTTATATGTTATTTTTTGTTGAACGATGGCAGATAAATGTACATGCTAAAATAGTTTGTTGCATTTCGATATATTTCCAACTGTATAGCTCTAACATATTTAAAACATCACGTCAAAGATCCTCAAATCCAAAATTTCAGGAAATCATGTTTTGTTTTTTTGTTTTTTTGGGGGTGTGGGGTTTGGATGAATGAAGCATTTTAAGTCAGCTATGGTAAAAAAAAATGGAAAACCTTCAAGTGAATTTACACAGTGTTCTAACTTTGCTATATTTGTTGTCTTACCTTTATGGATTCAGGGAGATGACTACCTTTCCTGAGTTCTTATCCCATGCGTTTCACCCTGTATTTTTTCCTCTCTGTCCCCAAGTGCTGCTCAAAGGGAATTGTTTGGTTTCTCTATATGATATCATACAATCTTAGAGTTACTTTGTGAAGTCTTCTGATATATGACATATGTTCTGCTTCATGAATAAAACCGAATTGCATTAATCAGATACTCACTGGTGCTTTGAATAACAGTAACAGAATGACGTCAGGTTTGGTAAATTCCACTCGTTGGTTAAAGTAGAGGCTGTGGGTTAAAGTAATGTTCACTCATATTTAAACAGCTGCTACTTTACCAAATGCAAATTTCAAGTTGACATGACTAATTGTTTCAGGAGGCGATACTTAAGGAAAGTGTTTTAGTGTCACACTTCCTGCAGAAACAATTGTAGCTATGTCCATTATTGAGTGTGAATTTGTACTATTTAATTCGTATAAACAAATGCAGTCCCTGAAATAGTGTATTTTGCATATGTAACATTATTCTGTGAAAACGGTCAATTGAATAAGTCAGATAAGCACCATTTATACCACATTCTCAAATAAAAAAGTATTTCTGTTTTTATAAAAGGACACGTCAAGTAAATCCAAATAAATGAATTACCTGCGCACACATTTTTCTGGGGAATTATCTGTTCCTAATTCAGATGAGGGGATAATCTTTTGCTTCTCACCAACCTCAACTGCAATTAGTTTTCCCCTCAAATTTATATTTGCTGTATAAATGTGTCATTTTGATGCTGAATTAATTCTGAATACATATTAGATATTCAGTGTGAAATATCACACCGTTGGTGTCAGTAGCAGTGAAAGACAAGTGATTAAAATGTATAAGATGGCAAAAAAAAAATCAAATTTGTGAACTTTTACAGCAGATTCACAGTTTAGAGCAGGTACACATTTATATTTAAGATAAGTGGCTGTAGATGAACTACTTAACACCATGTAGAATGTCTCTCAATGGCCATTAAAGCAAATATGCAGTAGTTTAAAATAGATAAATGAATTTGTTCATGCCTCACTCGGTGGTTTATGTCGGGGTGATGGGGACAGGTGATGATGCATCTGTTTTATGTGTGCGTGCACATTTCTAGTCCCCAGCCAATCCATAGATACCAGTCAATTCTTTATGAAACACAATAATTCACATTTTTAAAACAGAGACATGCAGTTGTTTAGTTTGATAATATGTAAAAAAAAGAAGGGGTTATGTTTTGATGCTGTCAACGTAGAAATTGGAAGGTCAGGCATCAAGGAGGCAAGATCATGCGAGCATGTTGCTTAGCAACAGCCACATCGTCTGTATCCCTCATCGCCAGGAAGGATCGGTGTTTTCTGAGTGAGATCACAGGGAGAAAAATAGAAAAACAGTAACTTTAACATGCCTGGAGTGGTGGAGGGGGATATTTCTCATCTATCCCTGGAGGAAATGAGCTTCTGAAGAAGAGATGTGAGGGCTGATGGGTCCACCAGGATTTCATGTTGTATCTACAGGAAAAACGGCAGAGCAGGATCCTATAGGTTCTGTAGAGGTTTGTTCTGGTGACACGGGCAACGTGGAAGAGAGAGCATGAAATATGACCACGGCAGTGCCTTCACAATAAGCAGGAATCCATTCCTCCACTTGTCTCACCCTCCGTCTTTCTCATCTCCATTTGTCTCTCCTCCTTCCTATTTCAGATAATGTATTCCTGTCTGAGCCCACTTCCATCTTAGCCTCTCATTGATTTCTCAGGCAGACATCAGTCAGGGCTGCCCACCCCCCTGCCTGGTAGCCTCTGTCACCGAAGGAACCTGTAAAGGTTCTAGACTAGGTTCAGACTAGAATATAAAGCATTTAAAACAGTTAAAAACAGCTAAGATCTAACATTTGGAATTATGAGGCCAATAAAATCTATCTGCATGGAAACCCCAGACAACCTGACTTGAGGTTTCTAACAGTGAGAACAAGTGTCCTTATTCATTTGAATGGTTTAGTACGCTCATTGCTTTCCTTAGAGACATGATTTAACTGTCAGCTTCTAAACTCCCGTCTGTCTCATCATCTGCCGGACACCTCCCCGTTTCTCCTTCTGCAGCGTCCTGCTGCTCCTCTTTTTATGTGAAATCTCTGTGAGATTCATTTAGTAGGCTTCGGGTGAAACAGGCGCTTCTATGGTAACCTATTAATTCCATGTCCTGCAAAGTGAATCTTTTTTTTTTTAAGTCTAGCTAACTCCAAATTCAACATTTTATGACGTTTTCTTTTTTTTAGAAAAAATTGCCATTGGTTATTTTATAACTGACAACGCAGATTTTAATTGAATTTCTTTAGTTTTTGTGCTTTCTTTTTCTTTCAACCCTCGGCCACAACCAAAGATGCTCTATCCTCTTTGACTGTGTCCAACATGGGGAGGTACAAAGTCCTAGAAAAATCAAACTGCATCATTTGTGCAATTTATAGTTCTACTCTATTTATATTTGTGCTGGACAAATTTGTTTTCCATGCTTGTTTGCCACCTAACAAATTATTTTCTGTATCTGCCTAAAACTTAAATATAATTCTTGAGTAGCATACACCCATTTTTTAAACTAAACTTCTACGTTGCAATCATGTCTTATTGAATATGTATTGTCTCTACACAGAGCTTGGACAAACTTTTTAGGAGTGGATTCCCACTTTGGTGCAAGGTTATGGTATTGTCTAATCACGTGATTATAATCGAAATAGTTTTAGAAACCTGTGTGTTTTCTGTGGTTTTCCTCCTCAGCTGATAAGTGATGGAAGTGTGGTCTATGCTGAGGCCCTCTGGGACCATGTGACCATGGACGTCCAGGAGCTTGGCTTCAAAGCCGGTGATGTCATCGAAGTCGTGGACGCCACCAACAAGGAGTGGTGGTGGGGCCGCATCTTGGACAGTGAAGGGTGGTTCCCAGCCAGCTTTGTCCGGGTGAGAGAATCTCTTTTTTTCAGTCTAGAACATAGAAATGAACAGCCATGTGGCTTCATTTTTCCCATTGTGTTTTTAACTGGGATGCACATATGTTTGGGAAAGAAAGAATAAGGGGGTATTTTTTAAGATGCTCCTCAAAAGATGTAAAGGTTTGAAACTTTTCCCTGTATTCTCAGTTGCGTGTGAACCAGGATGAGCCTATGGAAGAGTATCTTGCCCAGCTGGAGGAGGCTCAGGCTGGAGATGAGGACCGGTCAAGTTTGGGCTTACTGATAGGACCCGGTTTGCCCTGCAAAGAGCAGATGAGAACCAACGTCATCAATGAGATCATGAGCACGGAACGAGACTACATCAAGCACCTGAAGGATATTTGTGAGGTCTGAATCCGTGCGTGTGAAGACATGCTCTCATTTTTTTGTCTTGATCAGCTCTGTTAAACCTTCTGCTAACACCTGTAAACATCACTGTCTAAACCTTTGGTGAGGTTTGCTTAATCAAGCAGTCACTAATGATTTTCTTCTTAATTTGCTGTAACAGATTTATGTGACTAGACATTATAATAAAAAAACCTAATCAGGACACAATCAATGCTTACATTTGTATAAATACTACATGAGGTGGAAACCCATCAAGTTTTAGAGACTATTCATTAGCTGATCTTTAGGGATTTTAAATGCTAAATGGTACACTGAAATGGAAATAATGATAGGAAAGCAGCAGTAATTGTGGAAAATAGAGCAAAACAGAATGTTTAACAACAAAAACATCCCAACAGAAATCCCAAGAGCCACAAAAATGACAAAAACATTAACAGATGCACAATTCGTGACAGATTCTATAGAGAAACACACTCTTTCAGATTAATGAAAACAGCCCCACATCTGGAACATTGTCCTGTGGACAGACACGAATTGCATTAAGGTACAATGTCATACAGTCTTAATGCAAAATGCACAAACCACAATTACTGCTGCGCTTTTATTGTCATTACATTTGATATCGAACAGGGTAACCAGGTCTGTAATATCAGCTGGAGCCTGTTTT